GTCCAGTGAAAAGGAAAAAAAGGATTATTTTCATTATCAAAAAAATATTTTCTACCGACAGGGTGCACAATTACTTTAAAGTAACCGACTTTAAACCCCTTGAACGACGCAGTATAAGGTTTTAAAAGTGGCAATTCAGTCTGCCTTATTAACGACACCCATCTAGCTTTGTCTAAAGGGCCTGTACAGAAAAAATGAAGAAATAAACCTATGCTAGGCTCTACATAATGAAATTTACATAAAATTCTAAAAGCTTGCATTGCTGCCCACCCGTTCAGATGAAGTTGCGTCGACACAATATTCAGGACCCTCAAAACACCCATTTGAAAGTCATCAAAGGGAATTTTTATACCTAATTCCTTAAACATACACTTATATACAAAGAAGGTGTCGACCATCTCGACACCATCTCCTAAAAATACAAGATCAAGGTTACTAGAACCATCCCCTCGACAAACAGTTATATTAATAGGATAAGGATCCAAAGCCTCCCATAATGATATGTCACAATGACGCTTATTTTGTTGGAAATGTGAGAAGTACGCAGCCACTTCACTGTCCACCCATTCATAGCTAGGAATTGTACAAGGGGAAATGTTGGTCTTTCTCTTGGGGGCTAGCATTTGGTAACGATTTAGTTGATTCAAAACCATCAGTGACAATATCGAACGATTCAACATTGTCCTCACACTCCCTAACTGTCAACTCAAGCTCATCCCCCACATCATTCGGCCTTGAAGAAACTTCTTTAAACCTTTCGATTCCTTCGAGGTCCCCAACCTTAACACTAGTGCTCGACCTTGTACGGTCTGACAATGAATCCTCCCACTCAATGGAATAGGGCATGTAAAGACCAAGGAAAGAAGAGAAGGGCAAAGTAAAATAAAGCGTACCTTAAAGTTGTCGGGAGAAAAAGAAAAACTTCTAACAAAAAATCAAAGTATACCCCTCGGTTTAGGACAGAAAGTGTATATGAGGCCTGGACCACTACATATTTATAAAACGTAGGGTTTCGAGCAGATGATGAATCGCACCTTGTTCCAACCATTAGCTCTTTTTCAGATTAACGAATATGAGCGTCCAACCTTTTGTTTCAAAGACACAAACCACGAAGAAGAAACCCTAATTTTTGAAAAACCCTAATTAGCTAAAACCCTAAATTGCTGAAACCCTCATTTCTGAAGATCCTCTAGAATTAGCATATTAAACTGAACATATACGCAGTCTCAACGTTAAAAAAAAAAGAAACTGAATACCCCTTTGGCTAAAACACCAATACGTGTTAAAATCGAATACATTATCGGTCAAACCATATCATTTTCACTAGAGAACCATGACACCAACAGAAAAGGTCGGTAGACCTTAACAAGCCCTTGAGTCGTACCTCGTCGGGCTTAGGGGCTAGGTACTAGATAAACCACCACTTGGTTGCAATAATAGAAAAAGGAAACCGAATACCCCTTCGGCCTAATAAAGACGAGCACACCCCCCAGGTCAGATTAAGACTAAATTAGGGGATGAATGAACCCATTAGCGTAAATAATCTTTAATCATTTACTTAATTGAAAAGCTAAAATATAAGGCTGACGCATAAAGCCCATTAGTCCAACAGTATGCCTATGAAAAGAAAGTAAGAAGTATATGTAAAGGGTTGACTTTTGAATATTCAGTAGCATTTATAATCTAAATTGACACCTGACTTTATCGTTGGAGTGCCTTTTACAAGTATACCCTTGACGTAAGATTGAGAAAAGCCAACGATACTTGCAAGGACGTCACCTTATTCCACAAAAAAAAAGCATTGAGAAGACTAGTGTACGCTTAGCAGGAACAAATTGAATGATCAATTTTTATGGGTTTGGTTATAAATATGTAAGGCTGTATCAAACTGAAAACAGATAAATAAACATGAACATGTCTGAAAATTTTTTAGAGCTTTTTAAAAAGTAAAAATTACTGCTGGAATTTCTTTTCTAATACCTTCATGTAGTTTCGGGTCTTAGGGTGAAAAAGGAAATGTTTTGTCTAAATAATATTTTATTAAAATACTATTCCAAAGATTGGAAAGATATAAGGGAGAAAATCTCACAATACATGTCAAGAAAATAGCACCTTTAGGGGATTCAACAGTAGTATTCAGAAGAGAGATTAGGTAGAAAGAAAATGATCTATGATTAGATTTTAGTTGAAGTCTTAAAGCTATTCACTATCAAATAGGAAATCTATACCTAAGTTACAACTGCTGCCATCATGGCACAAGCCTCAACATTAATCAAAGGAGTGGCCCTTGCTTGAGTTGTGCTTGTGGAGAGACCAAAGAAAAATAATATCAAAATATGTCAAAATCTGTGAAGAGACCAAAGAAAATTAATATCAATATATGTCACAAAATAAAAAATAACTGAGCCACCAAATTTTGGTCAATTGAAGAACATATAGACTTCAATTAATAATTACAGCTTATAATTTGATTGTGTCATGCCTTGAATCCAAAATTCATCAAAAGTTACATAATCTAGGATACTGTAAGAGACTTTTTATAAAAAATCTATCTCACCTAAGGATGTTAGCTCCACGATCACAGTAGTATTTGTAACACCCTCTTTTCATTATTTAGAAAATGATGTTCTGGTTAACATTAAATGGCATTAGGATGTATTAGGAGTGTGTTTTGAAGAGTTTTAGAAGTGATTGGTGCAGGGAATCTCGCTCAAGCGAGACTGAGCGTCCAGAAATATCTTGTTTCAGGGCAATCTCGCTCAAGCAAGATAGGATAGATTCTGCTTAACTGCCACCTCGCTCAGGCGAGATTGATCTCGCCCAAGCGAGCTGAGGATCTCGCCCAGGCGAGCTGCATCATTCAGGTGAGGACGCATAGGAAAAATATTGTCCTCTCTGGCCACCATCTCTCTCAAACAAGATGGAGCTCGCCCAAGCTAGCATATCCCGTCACTCAAGCGAGATCGCGTCGCTTAAGCGAGCTGTTCCTGGCTCAAGCGAGCATGCGTGGAGCTAAGGGGTATTTAAGAGATTTCTAACATGAAAACTCATTTCATTTCTGAAAACCTACGTTCCTCTCTCATTCTCTCTGAACTTTCTCTTCCTATATCACAGATAAAAGTCGTAGAAACTCCAAAACTTGCAGAATCCAAACTCAGACTTCAATTCTACAGAATCGTTGGTGAGTATCTTAGAACTCGAACCTCTTATTTTCACTTCTATCTTTTCTATTTCTTCTTTTCTCAAAGAATCTCTTTCTCTAAGGTGTAGAACTACCTTGGTCTGTGAACTGACCTTTTCTTGCTTTCTCATCATCAAACACTAGTTTTCTAAGGAGAGCTCTATCTTATTACTAAGAACTGTTGTATTTGTATTTATAAAAATGTGTGATTGGAGTGTGTGATGAATGATAACATGTTTTCGATATATTTGGAATATGACTTGTTGTGTGTGATGCATGTTTTGTGGTGATTGATGATAAGTGTGATCTTTATTTTGAATATGTATATATGTATGTATATAGTGGACTGAGTCCAAGGGAACTAAGCATGTTTTGTGGTGATTGATGATACGTGTGATCTTTATTTTGAATATGTATATATGCATGTATATGGTGGACTGAGTCCGAGGGAACTAACTCTCGACAATGATTAAGTAATATATGTATGATGGAATAATGAACTAGAGAAAGATATAGAAAGATAAGATAGAAACATGGAAAGGGAAAGAAAAATCATAAAGAAATATGATAAGGACGAGTATAGATAGTTTACGTACACTGAGAGTGTGGAAGATGGAGAAGATTGATAAGTCTTGGGGAAATGAGAGTGGTGGATGCTTCTCTTGAATTATGCAACACAAATGAGAGTAGGAGCACCACATGCCTTACACTCGTTTCCTGACTAATACTCCTGACCATACTTTTGCTAAAAATGGCCGAGTCGGCACACGTTGTATCCGTGTAGCTGCGGCTATCCAGCAACTATCTATGTTAAGGAAGACCTCGAGGGATCTCAAGAGCAGTGAAAGTGAAATGAGAACTTTGAATATTCAGAGAGAAAAAGTAATAAGCTGAACACTTAGAGATTATTGCATGTATATGAATATGATTGTTGTATTATCTTTGTTTTAATGTGTGATAAATTGTGAATGTATGCTTGGTAAAATGAATAGAGACTCATCCTTACATCAACATTTCAGGGAACCCAGATGACAGCACCCACCGAGGGAATTAGATTAGTAGATAGTTCCATAACTAATAGGTTAAATTATGTACTTAATGAGTACCAGAGATTTTGTTTCTTTAGGATTATTTTATATGAAAGTGATGTACCTAGTGATCTTATTATGATGGAAATGGAACTAGCTTTTAGCATCCCTTTTGATTTTCCTGTAAATAGAATCTATCATACTCTATGTATATATCTCTTTCCTGGCACCGTAAGGACCCCAACAGTAGTGACATACATGTTCACATACCATAACCACGATCATATTGGAAGACCATCACGATGGACATTTGAGTGGATTATTGGTACGCAGGTCACTGCCGACCCAGGTGATCTGTATCTCAGATCAGATGACGAACTTGACTTTGAGGACTTAGCGATGATAGACCGGCATGGGGATGACTAGTGCCACTTGGTCGTGTGATGGATAGGCTGCTCATTAGGACTTATCTTATTTTGAGTATTTGTAAATAGTAGAAAATAGTCCTAATGTATTTTGACGACTTTTAATGAATATTTGTAAATGTTATATATATTTTGTATATCATGAGAACAACATATGATCACGTTATTTTAATGCTTCTTCTTAAATTTCCATTTGAATCTTTTTCTCGTTTTGATTTTTCAATATAAAGTACAAAATCCATGAATCGAACAAAACTTATGGGGCAACACAAATTGATTGGAATCCTATCTTCGGGTTAAGTTGGAAATTAGTGAGGTTGTGGTTTGATGCACCATGCATGATGTTTGTTTAGAGACTTTGTACTTTCAAGCTTGAACCTTGTTTATGGAAACATGACTACTGGCAGTGGTAAGAACACCATTATCAACCTTGTCTAAGTTTGAGAACATAGCCAACATCAATGTTGCATTTACTGCAGACTCAATTGTTATGTCTAGTACAATGAAGATAATCCTGAAGAGTAGGTATGCCTGAAAATTTTTTTGGATAATCACAAAAGTAAAATTTACTATTGGAGTTTCTTTTTTAACACCTTCATGCAGCTTCAGGCGTAAAAGAAATTTTTTTTTTTTGTCCAAATAAGCTTTTGCTAGAATAATATTTCAAAGATTAAGAGGATACAAGGGAGAAAATCTCACCATAAATATCAAGAAAAATAGCACGTTTAGGGTTCAATCAAGAAGGAAAAAAAGCTTTTCACCGCCAAAGATTATTACCCTTTGCAACCACAAATAAATTTTAGGAAGAAGGAAAATAATCTAGTGTTGTAAATTTTTATAGAACTAGGAAGAGTAATCTTCGAAGAACAAGAATGGAGAAAGGAATCCAAGAATTGAAGAATTCCGATGAATTATTAAAACTGAGAGAAAGTGATTACAAGAGGAAAAAGATACAAACTGATGGAATTTGTCATCCAGTCTATCTTACTAACTGCTATTAATAGATACTTAACCACTCAGAAGCTAACAACTTGGGTTACCAACTCAGCAATCAACCACTAATCATTTCTCAACCACATAATCTATAACAACCTAGTACTGACTCAGCACTTACAATCTCAGCCACATATTCTTGAAAATACTCATATCAATACCTTTCTCTTGCAGCATCCTTGTCCTCAAGGATGAAAAGATGGGAACTTCTTCAAATCATAGTAGAACTCCCAAGTAGCATCCTCTACCAATTGGTGCTTCCATTTAACCAAAACCTTAGTCACTGCTGCTCCCTTCCTTCTAACTGTCATCCTATCTAGGATAGCTTCTAGTTCCTTATCTGCCAAGGCATCTTCTGACTGATAAGGAAGAGTACTCGAAACTGGTACATTTCCCACATGTTTCTTAAGCTGTGAAATGTGGAAAACATCATGAACCTTGGACTGAGCTGGTAATGCAAGCTTGTAAGCAACAGCTCCAATTTTATCAACAATCTGATAGGGACCAAAATACTTAGGACTCAGCTTCATATTACTCCTATGAGCCACAAAAATCTGCCTACAGGGATGAAACTTAACATATACCATATCACCAATCTGATACTCCTTGTCAGTCTTGTGCCTATTAGCCTGTTGTTTCATCCTTTCTTGGGCTCTTCTGAGGTGGAACTTCAACATCTTCAACATCTCTTCTCTCTTAAACAAACTTCTATCCACCAACTCAACTTTGGACCGACCAAGAAGATAAAGGAGATGTATGGAATGAGGCTGGCTGTAAACAATATCATATGGGGTAGCCTTGGTAGGAGTGTGATAGGTGGTGTTATACCATCACTTAGCCATTGGCAACCATTTGCTCCACTGCTAAGGTGAATCATAACACATGCACCTCAAGTATGTTTCAAGACACCTATTTACCACTTCTGACTGGCCATCAGTTTGAGGGTGGTAACTGGAGGAAAGTTGAATCTGAACTCCCTATAAAGCCATCAAGTCCCACCAGAAATTATTGATAAAGACAGGATCCTTGTCACTAGTGATTGTGCTTGGGAAACCATGCAACTTGAAAACATGGTCCAAGAAAACCTGTGCACATCACTTGCTGTATAGGGATGAGAAAGAGTCATGAAATGAGCCGCTTTACTCAGTCTATCAACCACAACTAGAATGACTTGCTTCTCAAAAGACATGGGCAACCCTTCAATAAAATTCATAGTCACATGCTGTCAAACTTAGTCCGGAACTAACAAAGGTTGCAATAGTCCTGGACTAGCAATACTAAAGTACTTATTTTTCTGACACACATCACATTGAAGCACAAACCTCTTCACATAAGTAGTCAAACCCTTCCAATGTAGCACAGCCTTGATCCTTTGCATTGTTGCATTAATGCCAGAATGACCACTAGCACATGAAGAATGCAACCACTACAATAATTCTACCCTCAACTTACTATCATTTCCAACCACTAACCTTCCTTTCCTCCTTAATTCTTTATTGTACCATATATAGTGTTTATGCACAGCTGAACCTTCTTGAATTTCCTTGATCAACTTCATCAAATTCACATTAGTTAACCAAGTAGCTTTGATCCTATCAACCAAATCAGACTGCAATTGATAAGTACTCAAACTACAGCACTCTAACTCCTCAACCCTTGATAATGCATTAGGTACCGCATTCTCATGCCCCTGCTTATATTATATGGAAAAGTCAAACTCCATGAGCTTGGCTAACCATTTCTGTTGAAACACAGTGGTGAGCCTTTGATCCAGCAAATACTTCAAGCTATAGTGGTTTGTCTTTACAATGAAATGCCTATTGAGAAGATAGTGTCTCCATTTCTGGACTGCAAACACTACCGCAAGGTAGATAATGTCTGCTATTGTTTATTAAAAGTTCTGCTAATGTAAGCAATAGGATGGTGTTCCTGCATAATGACTGCCCCTATTCCATAACCTGAAGCATCAACCTCTACTATGAATTCTTTAGAGAAATCAGGTAATGCAAGAACTGGTGCACTACTAAGCAGGTTCTTTAATAACTGAAAAGCTTCCTTAGCCTGTTCACTCCATACAAAACCATCCTTCTTAAGCATTTCAGTTAAGGGCTTAGCCACCACTTCAAACTTCTTCACAAACCTCCTGTAATACCCTGCTAAGCCTAAGAAGCCTCTTAATTGCTTAAGGTTCTGAGGCAAAGGCCAGTTTCTCATAGCTTCACAAACCTCCTGTAATACCCTTCAGCAAAAATGAAATGACCAAGGTATTCTACCTTGTCAACAACAAAGAAGCATTTAGATCTCCTAGCAAATAAACTATTGCTCCTAAGAGTCAACAACACTTGCCTTAAGTGATCCACATGGCTCTCCAAATCCTTGCTATATATCAGTATATCATTAAAGAAAAGTAGCAAAAACTTCCTCAGAAATGATTGGAACACAGAGTTCATGAGACCCTGAAAAGTGGCTGGTGCATTTGATAACCCAAATGGCATCACCACATATTCAAAATGACCAGCATGTGCCCTAAAAGCAGTTTTTGGAACATCATTAGGAGCCATTCTCACCTAATTATAACCAGACCTCAAATCTATCTTAGAGAAGATTGTAGATCCATGAAGTTCATCTAGCAGGTCATCCATTAAAGGAATGGAGAATTTATTCTTCACAGTGTTGTTGTTCAGCTCCCTATAGTCCACACACAACCTCCATGAACCATCCTTCTTCCCAACCAACACTATTGGACTTGCATAGGGGCCACAACTGTTCTGAATCACACCCTTTCTCAAATATTCCTGCACCAATTTATCTATTTCATCCTTCTGATGCTTAGCATATCTGTAGGGTCTCTTATTAATAGGATTTGCTCCTTGTATAAGAGGAATCTTGTGATCATGCTTAGGTCTGAAGGGAGCAGGGACTCAGGTTCTTGAAACACATCATCAAATTCAGTCAAGAGGTCAGCAATCATAGGAGGCAACTGAGGTTGATTGGCATGAGCAGTGAGGGATTGCAGCAATCCTTTCCCTCCTTCACAAAGATGTATCATAGAAAAATGGACTCCCTCATCTAAAACTTTCCCAACCTGTTGTTTCCTTATAGTTTTAATTCCACCCTGAGCAGAACCTCTAAGACTATGCCTCTTTCCATTAATCTTAAATTTCATCTGTAACTTATCAAAATTCCACACAATATCACCCAAGGTGACTAACCATTCAATGCAAAGCACCAAATCACATCTACCAAGAGGAATAAGTATCATGTCAGAAGTGAAAATAGTATTTTGCAACCTCCATGTAAAATTTCTGACTATAGAGGAAATAGTAATCTTGTTTCCATCAACCACAGTAACACAAATAGGGTCCAACTTCTCTATTCTACAACCAAACCTCTTAACAAATCCAATATCCAAGAAGTTATGTGTACTACCACTATCAATGAGAATGTGAACAGGATTCTTTTGATAATGACCAGTAACACGCATGGTTTTGAAATTAGCCACATCAGATAAAGCATGTACAGAAATTTGCAAGTCATCAGAATTAGAAAATTCACTAAGCACACTAGGCTCCTCCATAATTTCCTCTTCCTCAAGCACCTCTAACACATGCACTTGCAGTTTCTTGTGAGTCAAGCTATGCTCAGGGGAGTATGACTTATCACAGAAATAGCACAACCCCTTGGATCTTCTTTCACTCATAAAGGTTGGAGTCAAGGTTTTACCAGTCTTGAACTTAGAATTCAGAGCTTCCTTCTGAGAGCTTGTATTAGAGGCAGGTTTATGAGCAGTCATAGGCTTAGAACCCAACAATCCTTTCTGATTCTTGGCTATCACAGCATTGTTAGAAGATCCAGCAACATTCTTAGCATTGCTTGTGCTTAGGGGTATTGGCAGCTTCATACATTCGAGCTAATTGAAAAGCTCTCTGAACAGAACTGGGGTTAAACATTCTTACCAACATCTAGATATCTTGTTTCAACCCCTCTAAAAAGCAACTTAAAGTGTAATCTTTAGACAAAGATAAACGAGTGATAATAGAGTCAAATGAAGCTTTCTGCCAAAGCTTCATCAAATCCACCATGGGGTCGTCACAAACATCCCCAAATCTTGTAGTTACCAATTTTGCATAATCAGCCCAACACATAGACGAACAATTTCTAGTTTTAGACAAAGCCGTGTGCCATTGAAGAGCATGACCCTCTAAATGAACTATCGCTAATTGAACATGAATTAAGTCAGGAGTGTTATCGATCAAGAAAAAATTGCTACACTGATACAACCACTGATTCACGTTTTCGCCATTAAATCTTGAAAAGTCAATGCGAGTAAGACAGGTACCACACGAATACGAACCTGAATTGCGAACATCTTGATGATTTATCCCTATAGAACCTGGTGGACGCTGCTGTAAGAGATCCTCCATGGTTTTCTTCAAAGATTCGTCAAGTGTTCGCTGCATTATCCCTGGGAGCTCTACCAAACGGTTATCCAAACGAGCTGAGACACACTCTTTTATTTCCTTCATCGCTTGAGCATTTCTTGTAGCTTCTACCATTGATGAAGACTCCGATATGGATCAAACAAGTTGATACCAATTGTTGTAAATTTTTCTAGAACTAGGAAGAGTAATCTTCGAAGAACAAGAATGGAGAAGGGAATCCAAGAATTGAAGGATTCCGATGAGTTATTGAAACTGAGAGAAAGTGATTACAAGAGGAAAAAGATACAAACTAATGGAATTTGTCATCCAATCTATCTTACTAACTGCTATTTATAGCTACTTAACCACTCAGAAGCTAACAGCTTTCCCAAAAAAGGAAAGGTTTCAACCAACTCAGCAATCAACCACTAATCATTTCTCAATCACAGAATCTATAACTACCTAGTGCTGACTCAGCACTTAAGTCTCAGCCACATTTTCTTGAAAATACTCATATCATCTAAGATCAGACTTTAGTTTAAGTCTAAAAACGCGTTGCAACTACTGCCATCATGGCACAAGCCTCAACATTAATCAACCAAGAGGCCCTTTCTTGAGCTATGAAGAGACCAAAGAAAACTAATATCAAAATATGTCACAAAATCTGTGAAGAGACTAAAGAAAAATAATATCAATTTATGTCACAAAATAAAAAATGGCTGAGCCACCAAAGCATGGTCAACTGGAGAACAAATGACTCTAATCCATAATTACTTATATTCTGATTCTGTCATTCCATGAATCCAAAATATAATAAAATTTACATAATTTTGGATGTTTTGATGAGAGACTTTTTGTAAGAAATATATCTCATCCAAGGATGCCAGCTCCACAACCACATTAGTATTGAGCAGAGAGATTCTTGAAAATGGCTTGTCCATAACCACAAGCATTTTTTCACACCTACACAAAGACAGCCACAAACTTTATAAAATTATGATAGCACAATGAAACAATTTTTCAAATTTTCAGTTAGACTTTATTTTTATTTGAAGCCATACATCAATTACTTAAACTTGAAGCTATTACGAGAATTCAGAATTGTATTTGCAAATGTATCTTGATAGAATTTTTCATGGATGGTGAAACATGTTGCTGCTAATGTATGCTGAAACAGGGGAATGTGAGAGATATTATTGTCGAGAAATAGAAACAATAAATGTTTCAATTAAAATAAAGAGAAGTCTCGTTCGTGTACAGGAAGTCCATATGATGATAGAAAGGTAACCTGATTTGTCATGGGACTAATTCATATTCCATTGATATTGAAGTGGTAATGCATAAGCAAAGTTTATTTAGACTGTTGGATAAAGGAAGATTTTAACTTGTAGGCTCTACACTGACCACATATCTAATATAAACTCATTAAAGAAGTCATTTGAATATACAGAAGTAGAGATAGTACCCAATAAATCTTGAGTAAGAAATGCTCTTTTAGCTTCTCAGATGCTTGATTAGAAGCCAGATTTCAAATAGAAGCAAGACTGCCTCTAGCAGAGCTCACAAAGAATCTGTGTATTTATGAAAAGTAAGTAGGGTGTCATATTGTATGCTAATGTGAAACTAGTGATTCACAGTGAGTTATGATGGCAAAAACGATCAACAAAGGATAATGGAAAGAAATAAGATTTGGTGATTCACCATGACACTTAAGATAATATTACTTTGTCATCGATAACTTTGGTGAGAATGTGAGCAATCTTTGGACACTCTTTCCTTCGCTTTTTCATAGAATAGTAGTCGATCCATAGTATCACAAGAGAGGAAGGGAGTACTTCTTTTAGTGATGACTTGAGATTTTGAGAATTAAATATATGATTTTATAGAAATGTGAGATGTTGAAGCCACCTTCCATGGTTTGTCATTAAAAAAGATTTGTCTCATTCAATTTTCCATGTTGATAAACTCTACCTCAAAAGATTCTCTTACTATGTCAATGAGGAAGACAAGTCTTAGCAATCTTGGTCAACTAGAAAACATAAAGGTTCTAAATCATAATTTATAAGTAGAGTAGAAGTCATAAAATAATTCATATATGTGCACCCAGTAACTACGATAGAAAATGCAACTCCTACTGCTAAACAAATACCAGCCACAATATGTGTATAAAAAGAATAATGGCTTGTACTTGTGACTACTTTACAACAAGTAAGGATAGAGAATGATACAAAGAGGACCATGAAGAAAATAAACATGTAATGCTTAAATATAATTGGTTTCAGCAGTCAAGCATTTCATTAAATAACTACTGGTGTATATGGCAGAGAACTAAACATCTTAGAGTCAAGGTTGCCAAGTATGCATCAATTAAGATATATTCAACAATGGATGAAAAAGCTGTAAAAGGAAGCAACATGTTACATGCCATACAGGAGATGGATCCCAGAAGGCTAAGCCCTTTATTGTAAACATTTTTAGGAGACAGTTCTACCGTGTAAATAAATAATTTGAGTAAGCGTTATAAAATCTCTAAGATAATTATAAAAAAAACAACAAAGAAAAAGAAAGGATTCTCTTATATTAGACATTTTATTTTATTTTTGATATTTTATTTTTAAGAAATGAAGTGATTATAAAGAAATTATATATATATATATATATATATATATATATATCAATTACGAAAATAGATTTGATTTGTAGTAATAGTTAATTTTTTTTTTCATGATTACTATTATTGAAAAGATTTTTAATATAGGTATTATGTTAGTGGTAGACTCAAATCAAAAAATAAGATTTCTTAAAGGAAAAAGATCGTAAACGATGGATGATTCAAATTTTTTGTGTCTATCAAAAAAATTTAATATTCAAATTAAGAATTCACGTTGAAAGACTTATTTATTTTAAAAATTGTTCAAAATGTTTAAATTTTTGTTTTTGAATAAATTTTTTTAAGACATTATTCAAATCAAGAATACAGATATTAATATCTACAGTTGGATTAAAAAAATGAAAGCTTTAGACAATTTTGCTAAAAAAAATATTTAAATAAAAGACAGAATGAATACAAATATAAACCAAACTAAGAATATTAAATATAACAAATATTTTATTCTTTCTTTAAAAAAATAAATTAAATT